GGGGAGACACCAGCAAAGAGGGAACCCGCCACTTCCAAGTTCAAGTTCGAGCCAAAGAGAAGGGTGGGTGGGGAGGGTGGAGGGCCTGTGGAGACTACAGCATCGCAGGAGGAGGGCAGTTATAGCCAATATGTTGCCCCGGCCCGGTCCTCTGTCGGCAGTGAGTCCCTTGCCGTGGCTGTATATGCTTCCATACGGCTGTATAGCACATATACACGGACACACACACACACATATATATACACACACTGCTATATATATGCATGGTCTGGGGGAGGCACCAGTCTCGCTCTTATCGCATCCATAATGGAAAAACCACATGCTGAACTCCCTTCGCCTCCACAGAGACTCTGAGGAAGGGAATTGGCTTTTGGCTGCGGATTTTTATCTCTCTTTGCTGCAGCTGTTTGCATTTTGGTAGGTCTTGCTTTTGTTCTGTGTCAGGCATCAACATGGCCAAACCGAGGGGGTTTCTCACGGGCACAGACAGTCCAACCAGAGACGGTGTGGGTGGCTGGGGGCAGGCTGCAGTGCATTGTGGGGTCTGGCGGCCTCCCTAGAGTAGCAGCTAGGTGAGGGGAGACCTTAAGGTGCCTGTGAATGTCCCCACACTGTGTGAGGAGGGTCTGGGAGCCGAGAGGGGACAGGAGGGTTGCCTGAACCTGTATACCTGCCCTCTTGGGCTGGGAGCATGGGGGCAGGTGTGGAAGAAGGGCTGGGTCTCCCCCTTCCTAGGACCTCAGAGGAGCCAGGGAGGAATGCTGGGGGCTCTGGAGAAGGCGTGGGGTGCTGCTGAGGGATCCACCTATTGGGCCTGCGCACGCGTGTGAGAGTGACATGAGTGTATGTGTGCATGTATGCAACTATCTCTGTGTGGGTTTCTGGGGGAGTCTGGAGATGGGGCCACTTGGGCTCCTCTGTGGCCTCTCCCTGCCCAGTTGGACTGGCTACCTTGCTGGTCTTCAGCTAGGAGGTGTCCCTCTGCCCTCCGCCTGTCGCACTCTGGGTAGTCCACTTTGCCATCCCTTCACCCAGATTCCAACCTCTCAGTCACCCCAGGGCTTTGCTTTTGCAGAGGTGGGGTCCTCCCTGTTCCCCAATACTCCCACAATGCACTGCAAGATTCCAGGGAAGGGGGACTTGGGGTGCCTGGGGAAGCTTGGCAGTCACTGGTTGGACTGTTGCTTTCTGATAGGACTGTGAGGCAGGGTTTGGGCACAAGCCGACAGGGAAGGGGTGGGGGGGGAGAGAAAGAAAACAGGAGGTGGGGGAGCAGGAAGGGAGGCTATGCTGTGGTCATCACTGTTGCCAGGGCCCTGCATTTCTGGGGTCCCTGGGAGGGATGTGGAAGGGGGAGGAAAGACAACTCAAGCCAGTGGAAGTAGGGCATGTCCCTCACCCCGCCCAGGCTAGTGGGGGCAGCTGTGTCCTCTGTGCTGAACTAGGCTGAACGTGGCCCCAGGGCTTCTCGGGGAGCCCCTGCTTCCAGGCCTTGGGGACCAAGGACAGGACAGCCCCTCGTGGCTCTCCATTCCCATCTGCCCAGGTGTCCCGTGGGAGGGGTGTGTCTCTGTGCACCTGGTGTGCGGCTGTCTCCCCTGTCCTCAGCCCCTTGTTCTCACCAGGGCCTGCGAGTTCACTGCCTACCTGTCCTGGAAGTCTCTGGTCTCACATCCAGCCTGATTCCCTCCAAGCTCTTTTGCTGGCCCTTGTGGTCCAGACAGATCCCCTTCCATTCCCAGCCAGGCTCACAGTCCCTGAGTCTGCCTTTATTTAACAAGGGAGCACCTTCTCCAACCTGTCCAGCCTCCCCAGGAGCACAGAGCACCCCAGGGCAGGGCTGGGCTGGTGGCCTGAGCAACATCTTTGGGAGCAGCGGGGTGGCAGGGGGCAGGGTTTCAGCACCCTGGCCAGTGCCCAGGACAGTGGGTCTCCTCTGCTCTCCAGGTGGCCTGGCTACTGCTCTATCTTGCCCCCCCACCCCCCTTCAGGATCAGGGCCAGAGGCTTCCAAAGCCTCTGTCTCCTCTTGGGAGTGCCGCCAGCTTCTGCAGCCAGCACGAGGTCAGAGGAGGGAGAACTATCCCAAAGGAAGCCCCGTGTGGCTGGCCCTTTCCCATAAGCCTCACGTAAGTCCCTCCCAGGACTGATCTACCCCCTGCATCTCAGGCCCCTGCGCTGCTGGGTAGGAGGTGGTGCAGAGGCATCCAGCCCTGTCCCCACTGTTGAGTTGTCTTGGGGGGACAGGGAAGGGGGGCAGGGGCCTGCCCAGAGAGGTCCAGGAGGATGAGGAGGGGCCTGAGCTCTCAGAACTCGTTGGAGAACCACCCTGCAGGTAGGGCGGGGAAAGGGCCGCTGGCTCTAGTAGGGATCAGAGGAAAGGCAAGAACTGGAGGAGCCAGGGGGATGCTGGGAGGGGCTCTGGAGAGCAGGGGTGTGGCCGGTCCTGGGC